GGTGTGCCATTATCACTAAATCGGTTTCATGCGTCTTTTCTGTTCAACTGCTGGGCTCATAGGGCTTTGGGGCAAGTGGGTCTTTGTGGCCATTTCAGGAACAGGTCCCGGCATGGCTTCACCACAAACCATGGTATTGCATGTCACGTTGGTGCAGCTTCGGCAGAGATGGGCCGGGAGGCTGTTTGAGGTTGCTAAATAGGCAAACCCCTTGTCACCCAGGCCTGCCTTAATTTTGGTGTTATCAGGTCATGTTGGCTCCGGAACCTTGACTGTATGGCCTTGACAGTAAGAGCTTTTTCTGACAGTAGGAGCTGTTGGGCAGTGGAACAGAGGCGGTGGACCCTGCTTCCTTGGAGGTTTCTAAACAGAGGTTGGATGGCCATCTGTCATGGATGCTTTAGCTGGGATTCCTGCATTGCAGGGGGTTGAATTAGATGGCCCCTGGGGTCCCTTCCAACTGATGCTATCATCCCTGGAGTGATACCATGTGCCTCGATTGGGCATGCAAAGAGGAAAATAGGGAAATCCAAGTTGCCTTTGCAGGTCTTTAGGGTGATGCCCACCATCAACAATGGTGTTCACACACTTGGGGTGGTTTGTGTCACTGGGTTCCACGTTCCACGCATCAATACTGAGCTGGTCGTTAGCATTAGCAAGGCAGCTACGGCAATGGCTCACCTCTCCAAAACGGTAAAAGAGAATGCGATGCTAATGTCCACTACGAAGATGAAGATGAAGATGACCAGACTACGAGGCTTGCATGTTGAGCATGCTGCTTTGGAGAAGTGAGTTGTGGACAACTTACAACTGTCAGGAGCGATGCCTCAAAACTTTCCACATGCTCTGCATCGGGGAAATTTTGAGTATTACATGGCAGAACAGTTTCAAACAGAGCTTGCTGTTGGTAGAGTAACAGGAGAAAGGGCTAACCAGAGAGCTTGTGCCTCCACACACACAAACAAATACGAAGCAGTCTCATCATCAAGGCTGACCCAATACATTTTGGCACCTGAGGCAAACCACAAAATGGTGTCTCCTCACCAGGACCGAGAGTCTACTGTTGAGGCTGTATTTGTGGGGTGGCTGCCAAGGAGGCAGCAGATGCAGTCTCCCAAGGAGTGTGCCACAGCTTCCCTGCTACTGCTGCCTCTGTGGATCCTGCCACCTGAGGCACTCACCCCGTATCGCCTCATAAGTGAGCCGGCCCTGCTTATCTTGAGCTTTGTTTCTTTGTCATTCCATGGGGTTATGAAAAATGTCAATGACTGGCATGGCTGTAATCGTAATCATCCGAGCTCTCTATTTAGTCTTTGGTGACAGAGCTCCTTTGCAAAGTCCCTCTTACGGGCTTCCTTGAGAGACAATGGGAAGGATTCGTTTTGGCCCGAGAGCACATTTGCTTCACTGGCAAAGGAGCCAATCTCATCCCTCCTTGACAGTTTATGAATAAAACCACTGAGGTGTTAAATAATAGGATGATGTGCTTTCCCCTGATATTCTGAATGCCAGGCGGACCGTTCTCTGCTCCAACCAATTGATAGTATTTTGAGACTTTGCCCTCCATAGGCACAGGGACACACATCCATTCTTATTTACAGCATCTCTGGCTCTGCCGGGTGACCAGACTCAGATCTGTCAAGTAAAAGCTGTCGCTTTAGTGATGACTAAAACTGAGCCAGGAGTTTGCAGGGTGAGTGGGTAGATGTTCAGCCTTATTTCTCATATTTCTCACTGTAGTCTGCTGCTGGAACTGCAAAAGAAAGAGCAGCAACAGTACATTGGCTTTGCCCGCTGTGCTTTGATACCAGCAGGCCTGTGAGGTGGAAGTAGATAGTACCACAAGCTGAATTGCATCAAATCGCGAGTCTGCGGTGTTTTGTTTTCTGCCTTGCTGTCATGTGGTGTGGTTTTTTCCCTCACCGGTAAAACTTGTGCTACTCAGATGTCAATGGCCAGCGCCTAATGAAGACGACTGAAAACTGGATCAGTCCAAGCACTATTCCTGATGGGCAAAGGACTCAATTTCCCCACTGCAGCCTCTGCAGCATTTATAGAAGCAAATCACTAGGAACAGGAGATGTATAGTACTTGTGGTACCCAAGTGATGCCAGTTCACATATAAAGGTAAAGGTAAAGGGACCCCTGACCATTAGGTCCAGTCGTGACTGACTCTGGGGTTGCGACGCTCATCTCGCTTTATTGGCCAAGGGAGCCGGCATACAGCTTCCGGGTCATGTGGCCAGCATGACTAAGCCGCTTCTGGCGAACCAGAGCAGCGCACGGAAACGCTGTTTACCTTCCCGCCATTTATCTACTTGCACTTTGACGTGCTTTCGAACTGCTAGGTGGGCAGGAGCAGGGACCGAGCAATGGGAGCTCACCCTGTCGCAGGGATTCAAACTGCTGACCCTCTGATCGGCAAGTCCTAGGCTCTGTGGTTTAACCCACAGCGTATAGGAGCTCTTAATTTTCCATTATGTCTTACTTCACAAACTGGAAGCACAACTGTCCCTTCTCAGTTAAGTGTATGCCTCGTGTAACCAAGTTAAAATGAGCTGGAGATGAATCAACGAAATCAGCAACATTTCACACTTCTTTTCTTTCTGTTTACACCGGTACTCTCAAAACATTTTATCAGTATCTGTAAAATTGCCATGTGTGTCCACAGCAAATGTGTTATTCTGGGTACATATATCCTGGTGGTGATTTGCTGTGGTTTCTTGCTTCCTGGTCTAGTATTTGCTGCTGCTCTCCTATGAGAAAACATAAGTGTTATCTGCAGGAATTGAAATTGGGGTGGGATTGAATTTTCAGAAGAGTGAAGGCTGAGGGGGTGACACTCTTCTGCCACAAGGACTCGGGTTGTATGGCACAATGATGAAAAGAAAAGAAAAAAGTTTCACCAACTGTCTGATCAAGCAGGACTCTTCTTAAATTCTTTCTAGATGAAAACTTTTTAAATTTCCTACACCTCTTGAATCTGCTGGCTTTCCTTTCCTTTTGTGGATTTAGGTTGCCATTGTGTAAATCTTTATTGCTCACTCTTACCAATTTTACTTGATGCTAATATGATGTTAAAGGGACGTGGGTGGTGCCCACAGAGCCTAGGACTTGCCGATCAGAAGGTCAGCGGTTCAAATCCCCGCGACGGGGTGAGCTCCCGTTGTTCAGTCCCAGCTCCTGCCAACCTAGCAGTTCAAAAGCACAAAGTGCAAGTAGATAAATAGGTACCACTCCGGCGGGAAGCTAAACGGTGTTTCCGTGCGCTGCTCTGGTTCGCGACATGACCCAGAAGCCGTCTGCGGACAAACACTGGCACCCTCGGCCAGTAAAGCGAAATGAGCGCCGCAACCCCAGAGTCGTCCACGACTGGACCCAACAGTCAGAGGTCCCTTTACCTTTAACTTTAATATGATTTTAAATGGTCGTATGCTACACCTTGGGTTCCTCTGGGTTTTTCTGTTTTGTTTTTGATGATCTTCCATGAATGCACAAGGAGCAAGGTTAGTTCAGGGATCTGTCGCTGTCTGAGCTCTGCTTCCCGGTTGTGTGTGTTATATCTTGTGCGGCATTTCAGAAGATACAAGTTCTTCCACAATTGGCCTGAACAACAATGACCAAAAATATCTCCCTGGCTAGAGTCTTGCCTCTCCTCCTTCCTAGTGGAGGCTGCCTCCAATCTGCTTGTAACTGGCATCCGTATATCGGAGTTTCCATGTGCCGAGATTGCTTAAGGTGGAAGATAAGCTTGGCTTGTTCCAAGGTTCCCCACCTTTTTCTGGGAAGCTGGACCAGAGTTAGGGGGGAGAGGAGAAGGGCTGTGATTGCAGAGATTCAGCATTCGCTTTTGTTTTTTTTAAAAATGACACATTAAAAAAATAGAAGCCAAATCACTGCAGGTCCAAAAAAGAAAGCATATATGTGTGTGGGGGGAAATATTCAGCACTGCATTGCAGGGTGGTGTCTGGTCTGCAAAAACCAACACACTCCAGAAAGCATGGTATCTATTTTTGCATCTGAAAAAATGTTGCCGTCAACAGTTCTCTTCAGAGCTAGTCAGCATTCTTTCTGTAACTGAAGAAATATTTTAGCCTTGAAGAGAACAATCTCTAATCACACAGAGGTTTTTCTGTGTGTGTATGTGTGGCTTCTGGGTTGACATCTACATAAAACAGTTATTTATTCCGTGTAACACTTATCCCGGCTTTACCCTTATTAGGGAGAATCCCCTCATTAATGTAAATCCTGGAATTAAGACAGAGAAAACTACAGAAATTACTCCATAATCAGGCCCCTTGGCATTACATGGTCACACGTGTTGCTTTTCACATGCACCAGAGCTTGTCAAATCCTTATTGATGCAGACACGTTACAGATTTAGGCCCTCCTACTCACGCCCATGTGTGTTTGAGTGTGCTCTTTTCCACTGAAACGGTGTTGGCAGCTAGCCCACTAAATGCAGATACAATATCCTCATATCCGTACTGTTTTCTTCTGGGAGTTCCAGGCTTTCCAAGTGCGAGGCTTGGAGAGTTTTTATGGACTGACATGTCTGAGACAAGAAAATTGGCGAAACAGCTTTGAGGTGTGAATATTGGTGTTCGTGAGCCTTGTGGGGCTCGCCAGGATGCAGACCCAACTCATCTGTTTATCCTCAGGCTAGATAAGACACAGTCCGGTGCACATCATTGAAAGGGCTCTTTGTTTCCCATTATTGCAAGAGGGTCATGAGGAGCTCGCATTGTGAGGCGGAGGATTCCAGTGGTGCCTTTTTCTAAAGGAGCGGCGATGTGCGCTGGACCTTTGCGCCAGCTTCCGGCGTGTGTTTTACCAATCTAGCAGCATGCATCTGCCAGGAAGTCTTTATTCTGTCTTGACTCACGTTGGCCAGTCGCTAGAGCTTGGTGGCTTTTCTTGTCCCAAACAAATGGGGAACTTCAAATGGAAGCAATGTGGGGCTTTCTATTTACAGCTCTCTTCTTTTCTTTCCCTCCCAGGCATGGACCCATAGAACCCATGGAGTATATAGCGGGACAACAGGTGATGTATAAAGACAGAGATCTTCCTTACTATCAAGCTGGCCACCCATCAGTACATCCCTCCAAAGGGAGCTATGCTCTCCCACAAGATGGCCCAAGGGCAACAGAGATATGGTATCCTCAGTGTGGTCTCCCACAAGAACCAGTAGGCCAGCACAAAGGACCCCTCCGCCAAGATGTGCCACCCTCCCCGCCTCAAGGCCACAGGGGGCTGCCTTATCATGAAATGGGCAGACTCGCTCATCGCCAAGCCGGCCCGGATCAGTACCAATACAGGCATCAAGATCCTAGGCACAAGGACCGCATGACTGCGGCCGTATAGCCTAAAGCCGGACTCCTGTCGATATCTCACCTTGCAGCCGTTACCACTGATCTTGCCTACCCCAGGGGAGAGATGTCGTTTGAGCCTGTCCAGTTTGCACCCAGGACACGTTCGTGAACATAACTGCAAGCTCGCAAAAAGCGGTACAATGACTTTTGGGTACCACCAGCGTGTCGGAGTGTGTGTTTTAACGCTTCCTCAAACGTAGAAGGCGGCAGGTGAAGAGTAAGCAGAATTTCTTCTAAGCACGCCTTAAAAGTGCCACTCAGGGCTGTTTGCAACTAACTACACAAGCACATGCTAGATGCCCACATTGCAGGGAACTATTTTGGACATTGTTTCAGAAAGAGTATTCCATGGGTGCCACTGTGTGTGCCCCCAGTATGGCAGACCCTTCTTTTCTATGACCTCTGATTGGAGAATTGTTTTAAGAGTGGAGATGGGCTCTCGGTGTGACCTGACATTTCTCTCTCTTGTCATAGGGAAATACTGTTTTGCTCTCATCCCGGTCATATTTTTTAATTGCCCCTTCAGATATTCAGTTTTTCTGTCCCCCTCTTCAGTTTCTCACTTTGTCACATGGAGACCCTTTGGGGATTCTTATTTGCTCTCCCCAGTTGCCAACTCAGAGACGAAAGGATTGTAGGGAGGGTGGCAGCGGCTATGTAAGACAACTCGCCCCCAGCACCCAATTTTGCAGGAATGATAGTGGGAGTCTCCCCCTCCCATACAAACCGTTGCTGGCCATTCAGGCGCAGCACCCGGCTATCCTTGCGTTGGCTTTGAAGGCTAGTATCCTTCTTCAGATCCCACCCCAGGAAGGAAGGTCAGGGGGAAATTCTGCAGGGCTGCAGCGCCCAGGGCTTGGTGAGCCTGTAGCAAAGGAGGCTCATTCTGTTTTAAAATGATGGGTTATCAGATGGTCATTTTAAGAGAGAAGACAACAACACACCAGAGGATCAGAGATACAGGATAAGAATAGTGTTTTAATGACTCCCAAACATGTTCCAACAGTGAAGGGAGGAAGCTCAGGTGGTCCCTGAGCTCTAGCTTGCATTTCTGAGGGAGGTGGTCCTGTTTGCAGGTTATTGACTGCGGGGGACGTGGAGGGTCTTTTCGGTTCTGTTTATTTTTACTTGCCACCCTGTCTAACAAAGCCTTTGAAACTTTGATGAGCTAGGAATTCGGAGCAGCTCCAGCATCATTTTTTTAAACCCCCCCTTTTTTAAAAAAAAAAATAATAATAATAAAATCATCCTTTCCTTTGGACGGCTTTCAAGGCTATTTATTCCATAGCCTTTTTCCTTTCAAGGAAAAGACCTTGGGGCCTGGCCACAGAAGGAGCCGTTGGTTTCCTTTTGGTATGCAGCAAATTAACAGGATTCATTACACAGGTCGTCTCATAATTATTATATATTGCACAGAGGGGTCATCTACCAGGCACAGCCATTTATCATTTACCCTTTCTGAAATGGCTTCATTATACCCGCTGGCCTCTAGAGACTTGGCGCTTAGTGAATCTGTCACACACACAAATTTGTGTTGCTGCGTTTGAAAGGACGAGCTCCTCCATTGCCCATGAAAGGTTCTATGGTGTCGCATTGAACCCACCGGCCTAACATTGTTGTCCCAAGTATTAATATTCACATAAGTAATTGATTTTTTGTTTGTTTGTTTAATATGAAAAGGAACAAAACCCAAACCTAAGAGCCTCAGATTCAAAGTCCCTGAGTAGCAAATAGCAGGGTTTGGGATCCAAGGTTGTGTGTCTCATAGCCTTCTCTAGGTCATTTACTCTCTAGGCAGGACTAAGCAGGAAAGAGTTTAGCGAGTACAGTTGTGTTTCTACCATTAATTCCAACAAGAAATCGTCACCAGGGAGTGACTTTTCCCTGTAAATAACTATTCCTCTGAATAGACTGCTTGTTCCTAAAATGGCAAATACATATTATAGCCATGTAAAAGGCCAATATCTATTTCCACCAGATGAATTTCAAGTGGCTGTGAATAAGTAAGCTGAGAGGCTGATATTTTTGGGAAATGTATCTGTATAAAATACCCTTAAATTTTGTCCAGTCCACTTTTAAATGGGCGGCTAAGTCCCTCCTGATAAGTGCAGTCATGTCTTCCTTAACATTTGCAGCTTTAAGTAGAGTGTGAACGTCGAATTGTTTACTCCTTGCTAAGCCTAAGTTCCTGTTGAATATCTTGTTTCATATCTGAACCGAGGTAAGATACCACACAGAAGACAGGAAATAATGGGTTGTTGTGATCACTGGTGTATAGTGACTGGTCATCCAAACTAGATCAATCATGTTAAAATGTTACTTTCATTCTTCCGTCCTGGTTTGGTGGAGGGAGGACAAAGCTTTTCCTTGTTTCTCAAACTTGGGTTGCCCAACTGTGGTTGGACTACAGTTCCCATCATCCCTGACAGCAGGTCCTGCTAGCTAGGGATGATGGGAGCTGTAGTCCAACAACAGCTGGGCACCCAAGTTTGAGAAACACTGGGTGGAGTTCATTATGAAAAGAGAGATTGCTTTCTGCCTTCTATGGTCCTGTAGTCTATGCCAGCCATTTTGCTAGTATTTACAGCTTCACCTGCAACGGTGGAAGTTACCCCAAATGTGTGACGTTTTTAGGTCACTTGGAGTGCTTGGTGGCTCCCGAACAATATGATCCAGGTCATCTAACCCAGCCTGTGGGGGAATTCTCTGTGATGAAACTCTTCTGCTTTATCCCTTGCCTTGTGAACTCTTTTGAAGAGCATGGAGGTGGACATTTGTCTCAGGTGAAGCAGGCAATCATTTAACTGAGAGAAGCTTCAACTTTGGATCTGAAGCAAGATGGATATTGAGAAGGCCACTCTCAAACAACAACCCCATTCCCTTCCCCTTTGGAGTGTAGTACAAATGCTTCCCCCTCAAAGATTTCTGTAAATAGACTATATGTAAGACAGACAAAGATAGGCAGATGTTCAAGGAGTGCAGAAAGGCCACCAGGAGTGAGGTGAACATTTTAAAATGCACTTTGTACAAATATAACCTACGATACGTTGGATCCTCCAATAGAAGAAGCTAATGTTGATGACAGTGGCTTTATCTCTAGCCTGATCACAATTAAGGGGAGCTTTGGAAGATAAGCTCCTGCCTTATAAATCACCTGCCTCCTAACCCCTTTCTGGTGCCATTTGGTTCCCATTCACAGAGATAACTGACAGCATTTCAGGAGCTAGGGATAAATCCAAATTGAATGGAAAGAGCCTGTCTGGATTATTTATGGCCTTTGAAGCTCGTGCTCAGTTGTTTTCCATGTAACATGAAACACCCTTCTAAAACTCCCATTGAGTGCAGCGGTTCCATTTGGTAGGACAAGGCAGGTCAAGAGACGACCCTTCTCAGCTGTTAATCTTAGCCAATGGGGTATTCAACTATGCTTCTGATTTCAAAGCTATAGGAGACTTTCCCTCCTTTTGGTAAAGAATAAATTAGATGCAGTACTATATAGATGCTTCATGCTTTGCTGAAAGGAGCAAAAACCCCTGGCCTGGTTTGGGGGAACCAGGAGCAAATGACAGGAGCAAAGGAAACTAAATGGCATCAGTCTGAAATGCCCCCATGTTTCTAATGGGGAGAGAGAGCAGTTGGCTGCTTTAAGTGACTCACAGAAGAGTGTGGGTGTGGGTGTGCGCGCACACGCATGTATATGTATATATATCCTGCTTCTCTGGAACAACGCAAAACAAACTATCGGCACCATATTGCAGACAAATGTGTAGCACACACACATATCACAAGGTGCTGTAGCTGGTGGATCAATATATATATCACTTGCACGCAAAACAATTCCACACGAGCCATTAAGAAAACAAGTTGCTCTTTTCTCGCATGCGCCCGTATGTTTGCGAATATTGATGGATCTGAGAGGGTTCTTTGCTATTCACAAAGGCCTCGTTGTGCTAAATGTCTATAACAACGTGCCAATCCGAAAGAAGCCATCGCAAGTGAATTTGGGCGGCTCTGATCTGCCCCCATGGGATGCATTTTCACACGCAAGTTCGAAAATGGGCATCAATGCGCTTGTTGATTAAGTTTGCCGTGTCGGCCCCACCCTGTGAAGAAGACAGGTGCCCCCTACCGCAGTCCCAATTTCCCCTTGCTTTAGCGATGAGGCTCAGGCCAACAAATATGGATGGATGGCCAGATTCATGCCCGTATCCTGACAAGAGGTAGGGAGAACGTGTCCTATCGTAAGGCACAAATATGAGCTGCACAAGCCATCTATACCTTCCCACCTTAACCCCCCAAAGGGCTAAGAAGGAGCACACTGCAGTTGCTAGCCAACTGTGTGATGTGCTGCTCTCTTCAAAGGCTGGCTCTTCAAAGGACAAAGCTCCCTTGCGAAGAGGGGCAAAGGTTTCGCGCATGCCAGCAGGGAAATCGTAAGGACAGCACAAGGGATGGGGGCTGCATAACACCGGTTTCAGAGCAAGCAGTCAAAACGGCTAGATACAGCTTTGTACATTTATTCCCCGAGTGCTGAGCTGGCTTAGGTATTGCATTTGGAACAGAAGCCTGGCTGAAAGCCCGCTGAACTTACTGGAAACATCCGTGTACTTTGGAGCAAATTCCTGTTGCATTTTTAAATTTAATTTTATTTTTGTGACGAAAACTAGATTTGACGCGTTAACTGTTGAGTGGCTGGGTGCTCCGTGCAGACACCCAACAGTTCCCTGAACCATCTGTTGACATTATTAGCTCGTGGGACGGAGGATCAACTCTGACTGCAGCAACTGAATAGGGCGAGTAGCCCAAAAAACTAGGAGAGGCCCTGGGAAGTCAGCTTTCCAGATTCTCTTCGAAACCCCAACATTCCAAGTGCTACCCTTAGCCAGATATAAAGCTTCACGTGCTGCCTAAATCTTTGTATACTGTTGAAACGCTACCTCCTTCCTTTCTGCCTTTTTAAAAACACTAGACGTTCCATGGTAGATGTGCTCTGGGGTAAACTCTCCCTTGTGGGAGCTAAGATGCATGGACAGCTTTCCCAGATCAGGCTCTCGCGCATAACTTTTTGCAAGAGCATTCTAGCCATCTGTGCACTTACTTGAGAGACCTTTGCCTCTCAGTGCAGAAACCAGAACCTTTTTCTTATACATACGTATTTTTAAGCCTTCATTCACAAGACAACAATTTCAGATTATTTCTGGCGCAATCCCACAAACGGTAATGGGAATTGCTTGTTTGCACACCGCTGTCCTTTTCTATTCTTTCTTGTTGTTGCGCATATGCACCTATATTTGTGTGTGTGTGTGTGCTTTTTTAAAATTGTTTAAAAGTTTGGGAAATTTATTGGGGGGGGGGTTAAGAGATCATCTGGTACCACTGTTTCACTTTTTTGGGGTTACATATCACAATATAAATGCTGAACAGTTTTATTTTGCATTAAAATAAAGGCTTTAAGAACAACTGCCAAGGGCTCTTTTTGTCTGATCTTTTGATCCCCATCAACTGTGGTCAACCCTCAACAGAGACGCTCTTTGAGAAGAAACATAATGGGGGGGGGGTGCAGGCAGTTGCGACAATGGCTAGTTTCCTTCTTGCCATTGTTTTGCACACCACAAACCTCCAGGCTGCATTCATCCAGTGGCAGGCCTAGCTCAAAACAGCTTCATTAAAGTGTGACCCCGAAATTCCGTATCTCCCCCCCAAAAAAGAAACTTGATACCAAAGTTTAGTACCATTTTTGTGCCGCGAACCCTGAGTTTTTTGCCACCACCCCAAACCAAGTAACTGACACAGCAAATCGGGGTCCCCAAATCCAGCCTTGTCACACGTTAATGAAGCTGCTCAAAACTGCTTTTGTGAATGTCACAAATAGATACCAAGCAAATCTAAGCATACCTACTTGGCACTATATTCAACTGAAGCCAGTGGTGCCTTATTTATAGGGATTTCCTTGTCCCTGTTCCTGGTATATGAATAAACACCAACTTGAGAAGAAGAAGAGTTTGGATTTGATATCCCGCTTTATCACTACTCTAAGGAGTCTCAAAGCGGCTAACAATCTCTTTTCCCTTCCTCCCCCACAACAAACACTCTGTGAGGTGAGTGGGGCTGAAAGACTTCAGAGAAGTGTGACTAGCCCAAGGTTACCCAGCAGCTGCATGTGGAGGAGCGGAGACGTGAACCCGGTTCACCAGATTACGAGTCCACCACTCTTAACCACTACACCACACTGGCTCTCCAATTGCTACCATTTAAATTAATTGCTACCATTTAAATAGACATGGGTGGTGCTGTGGGTTAAATCACAGAGCCTAGGACTTGTTGATCAGAAGGTCGGCGGTTCGAATCCCTGCGACGGGGTGAGCTCCCATTGCTTGGTCCCTGTTCCTGCCAACCTAGCAGTTTGAAAGCACGTCAAGTAGATAAATAGGTACCGCTCTGGCGGAAGGTAAACGGCGTTTCCGTGCACTGCTCTGGTTCGCCAGAAGCGGCTTA